CCCACTTGTCTCCACTTTCTGTCACTCTTTATCCACCTTTTTCTTCTGGTCTCTGGTCTAAGCGGTGACAGACTGTCTCAGCGTTGACTGGTTGGGTCCAGCCTTCACTCTTTGCTCAATAGCTGCCCAGSTTTCCTCAAAGGCAGCCATCCAGCCGGCACAAAGCCTGCCCACTGGGAATAGAACCACAAAAGAGAGACAAGAGAGAGGGGGGTGTTTGCTGTCTTTGCTCTGCTCCGTCTGAAGCGGCCTGCCTCCACCACCTCCTATAAATAATACAACGTTGCCTCAACAAAAAGAGAAATCCTGCCCAACTCCTGCAAGCCTTTGCTTCCATCTGTTCTTTATCTCTTCACTCTGCTCATCTCCAGGCTCCTCGGAGAACCTTACAGTTTCAGCTGCAAATAACAAATTACCTAATATGGCTTTTTTTCTCTTAAATCATTGTTTTTACAAGATCAGCACTGAAGGAAAACTCTGATAATTAAAAGCCCAGGAAATCCCCTACTGTTGTTGAAGTGGTGTATTCTTCATTAAAAACTGTAATCATTAAAAAACTCAACCCCAGTGCTGGGGCTGGCACATCAGCTGAACAGTCTTCACTTCCACAAAACTCTCGGTTTGCTGTCACCCTGGAGTTGAGGCCTTCATCATTCTGTGCTTAATAATTACAGTTTTTAATGAACAATATGTCACTTCATTTTGGCACCCAACATGGGGACAAAATRAAGCAGCATACTCTCATGTTGAGACAAAGTCGAAGTCGTTTTATTAAACCATGAAAATGTTCTGGACAATATATTGTGACATGTCACGCTCAGAGTTTATCGTATGAATGACAGTCAGAGTTTGAGCCACCTCTGTTGCATAATGCTAATTAGCTGTGGTGATCATCTTGAATTAGATCGACTGTAGTTGTAGATGTCTGTCCATTCTCATTAAAGTTTGTCCAGTGGTTCATGAGATATTTTCCCAAAAGACAAACAGGGCTGAGCCTAAATAGGTAGCACACACAGTCTACAACACRCAATTTTAGCACAGTATCTGTAAAATTGACTGACATAAAGTCACCTTTGTGTTTTTCTCAGGTGAGTTGGCTGTGGCAGCCATCTTGAATTTGGTTGGCTCTATAAGTTAAGATATATATTCAGTAATTACTGAGCGTTTTAATAAAATCTGTGTAGCGGCTCATCAGATATTTTGGTTAATAGCAATATAAAGGGCCATTTTTACTGCTCACCTGTGGATTTTGGATTGAGGACCTTTTATTTAAAAAGTCACCAAAAGTAAAGTAAAATGTTATTGAAGAAATTAATGTACATCTAATATATTATTTTTAAGGTTTAACTAAACCTGTTACAACTTTATCATTTCTCAACATAAAATGATCTGAGTCTAAAACTGACATGAAAGGTGGTGGGTCATTATTTTAAGGAATGTTAGGTCTTTAATATATAATTTTTTTAGTTAGACAATCAGTCAACCTACCTGCCAAAGAGTTTGGTTGTAAAATATTAGCAATAAATGTCCTGATGCATCTCAATAATCCAGGTAGAAAAAAAAGTTTAGTCAGATCCTCTTGAAATGTTTTGTCTCTTCTCCAAGAGACTATTTATGTCCTAATAGAAAATTATTTTATTCCAAAAAATACGGTGAAACTACACATAGCACATGATATAGTGTCATTATTTAGTATTTGATAAAACGTTTGAAGAAATTTAAAGTTATTAGAGGTTAGTACTGATGTTAAAAGCACAACACTATATTCTTAGGTTTTCCTTTTTGTAATGTTGACAGTGTTTAATCTAGTATGTTTTGACTGATATAGATTAGTTACATGTCTGAAATATGTGACAACACATAATCAAACGTTGTGATGACAGGAGCTGAGGATTTTGTCTGAATGCCTGTGATTTAGCCGTAGGTCAGTAGGGGGCGAACGCAGGCATTGAAGAAGGTGTGTGTGTATACATACATACATACATAC